CCACATCCAATTTTTCAGTGTCAGTTTACTCTTCCCAAATTCCTTGCCATCTACAATGTCCTTGTCATCGTGCGGCGACCTTTGTGTGCCAAATACTATACGATGATTGATAGCTGGTGTACAGTAGAGTAAACTAAAGACCTTTTGTTAATATGTCTTTTATTATAAAACGGAAAACTCCTGATCGAAAAATTATTTCGTTTCATAGAAGTTGAATGGGGTATAATTTCAAAAAATATTAGTAAAAAAAATCCCGCTTGAAAGATCAAAAGGTTTGATATTTTTGCATTTCTCCTCGATTTCGTATTCAAAAATGCATTTCAGATCTACTGACATGGGTAGAAATGCATTACAATCTTGCTCAAATATTGAAATGATTGCTATCATTAGAGCTTCTTATACTTTTCAAAATAGAGCTGTAAAACATATTTAATTGTATAATATTAGGTTGATGCAAAAGGAATGGCCGATTTGCGAATTCTCACTTTGATGTGCTATAACTTTCTGAACGATCCACATTTCCGAATGCGGTAAAGACCCCCAGAAGCAGCAAACCTTTCGCAACACAGCGCTTACTTATTTATACTCAATCCGTAAAAGGGAAGAGAAATACGGACTAAAAGACAAAGAAGGTTTTTCTGCAGCAACTTTGTTTTTGACAATTCATAACTTCCTTCAGAGTTTCTAAGTATAAATGATAAGTAGCCTATTTTAAAGCCGCAAGCCAGTAGTACAAAAACCAGTAAAAAGAATTCGGATAAAAAAGTTTGCGAGAGAGAAAAATTAAAATTTAATTTTTGTCAGTTTTTTCAACATTTTTTCAATGTGCCTCAAAGTCCGGAATATAGAATTTTGTGATTTTCTGCGTACTGAACAGCTGGATGGTTTTGCAAAAACTGCTAATAAATGTCCTAGCTCTACGATTACAGAATTGAGCAAAGCTTCGGCGACTGACTTCCTCAGAAGAAAAGTATGGGTCATAAATTAACCGCAACAGCTATCCATGTTTACGCGCCGATATCTCAATCTGGATAACTCCAAAAGCAGTTAAGTATGCATAATGTAGAAAATTTCTATTACATACAGTAGCTAAATTTTCGAAGAAATCCCATTGATACGCGCTTGAATTCTGGCCGGAAAAGTGAATCATGAAATTCCGAATTTGAATGCGATTATTTTAAGCTCAGTAACTTTATAAGAGATGAGAATGAGAGCCAGTTCCAAGCACCGTTAGAGCATGAAAACAGCTTCGCGACAATATACTACATCCATTGTAAAGAAGAAGTATTGATGGAAAAAAGTTGCCCTGAAAAAAGGCTTGGAAAATCGGCCATTTCTTTTGCATCAACCTAATATAATTCGAGTATGATAAATTGCTTGCTATCATTAAGGATATACTTTTCCAGGTATAAACTCACTATAAAACAGGAACAAAGAAACTTTGTAAACCAGATAATTTCTTGGGTGTTCTTCTCTTTTTTTCCATCTATTTATTGGTGCCGGAAACTGCTATTTATTACTCGGTACCTATGTTTGTCAATGAATCTCCTCCGTAAAGTGGCCTGAGTGTAAAAGGTCGTATCTCTCATTTCCGGAATGATTTGCCCAAAGAATATCGAAATGCTCTATAGTCGCTGCGCATCATTGGAGATGTTCATTGTCTTATGATCTCATGTCTGTCTTTTATTTTATTGGTTTTGCACCTTTTTTGACCTATGCATCAATCAACGAATAGCGCCTTGACAAATGGCCATCATTCTCATGATCGAGTGTTCATTTTACTATAAACTTTACTGAGCATAAGACTGCCTTGTTCTCGGGGAGTAATTATTAATCCAAAAAACTCTCAAAGCTGCCTGTTTTGAGGAAAGTCCCGAACTTTTTTGAACGTGTCCGCAGTGACCCCTGAGCTGTGACAGTTGCTCGACTGCTAATCGCTTTGTCTCTGTCCGGCTAATTTAGTAGCTTCGTTACAGATGTCATTGTCATAGATCTTGTCACACTCTGAGATCTCTGTCCATTCGGTACACACGACTCACACTTTATGACATTCTCTTCTGTTGGACTAAGTTTTTTTTTTGCGCTTTTGGAACCACAACTCCCATGAGTGTAACCCCGTCACTTGGTTGGAGCTATCAAGTAATCACCAAAACAGGTTGAAGAAACCCAGCTGTCTTTCTACTTGATAAACTTTCGATATTTTTGTTTCTGTGTTTGATTATTTTTTCAACTCACTTTTCCTCCATTTTCCAATATTTTTGTGCTTGCAGACGCTACGACCGAGCAGTATGTGGTTTGCCTGACTATTTTATAATGTTCGCATAGAAAATGATAAGAAGTTACATACCCGTTTTGGATTCTTGGTTAGACATACTGTTAATTTCTCCGCTCTCGATATGTTATACATAATATTTATGAACTGCCACTTTATCACTTTCGATCTCGTCAAAATTATATATTGTAGAAAAAGAGAAATATCCAAACAATGACTTCACGGGAGTACTCTAACGCATGATCGATGATCTTCCTCACTATTTTCATCAAAAAGGGATTTTTGACCTTGCTTGCGTTGGCCATTATATCTTATAGCTTGCATCATTTACATCTACTGTAGCAAACATTTTTCTCCTCTTTTTCGATTTCCTGGCATCATATGTTACGTATCACCAATGATTCCATTGCGTCATAGCTATTTCATCTATTCAACGGGAGAAAAACTGCAACTCATCTGGTATATATTTCTCGGAAAATTTATGTAGAAATTCAGAAGATCTGTAACCTCAATTTTTTCCCGGTGTTTTTCTCAGTTGCAGGAAAGTCTACAGAACCTTGTGTTTCCTCCTTGTTCGATCGTTCTAGATTTAATTACTTTAAAAAGAATTATGTTTTATCATTGCGCTGATTCCGAATTGTTCTCAACAATGGCTGTGCTAGATTTGCTATTTTGCGGTCAAGGTTATACTTAAGGAATTCCTAAGACCTCAATTTATAAGCCAACGTATCCCTATGAAGTTATGTAGTCATATAGGATATTGGTATTTTGGTATTAACAAAATAACGCATGAAAAATACTCTAATGTGAGCTGCTTATTCACATCTTACCCCTATTTTTTGCACAATTTTCGTTTCTATTTGAAAATTAGGCTCATCAGGGGATACTGTAGACTGTTTGCTAGGTAATTTCCCACAAAATTACTGAGCAAATTCATTGAACAATTTTCATGGGAAATCATGATGCATTTTTTGAAAGACACGTGATTTTTTGATTACCTTTCCGAGCAGATAGCCTCCAACGCAGATCACTGATTTATGTTTTCTAATTCATTGTCGCAATGCCAAATGAAGGCTAGAAGAGTGCACTTTCGATGGGCTTTGCGTAAACAATCTATCTTCTTTGGAGATTTGTAGAACTGTTTCTGCGCATTCCATCTTTCTGGATTGAGCTAGACTCAAAATTTGACTTGGTTAAGTTGAAATCTTTCGAGGTATAAAAGTAAGCTGTAATAATCAAGAACATAAAAACAATCCTTTTGCATAGTGAAGTTTACTTATAATTTTTTGAATTTTTAATCCAAAAGCTTGTAAACTATATATTGCGAACCAACTTCTAGATCTAGCCCAATTCTAGCTCTACAGATTCCTTACTTTTGAAAGATATTCTTAGAATTTACAATTGTTGCCACTTTTGGAATGCTTGTTCTCATGTTTGCATTTCGTTTCCTTTTGAGAGTGATACGATAAAATTATTTACGAACCTCAAGCGAACAAGGTGTCGGACTTTTTTCAGGGTCACGCGTAAATGTGTGAATGTAAAGCGACCCGAAATAGAAGTGAAGAGTTCTGGAATCCTTTTCATGAGTAGCTTGAAAATGCACAGACAAGATCATTAGTAACATTTGTTCATTTAATCACTTAATAGTTCGCCATCGTGTTCTTCATTTCCACCCCCGCTCGGACCTTTTTGCAGGCCTCGAGCTACCCATTTTTAGCCGCGGCCTTTTCGTGTAATTATAAATTTTTGCCACTTCTTATTGGGTGTTTAGGTTGATTATTGGATTGAGAGACAAGGAAAGAGATTTTGCATAGTTTAGCTCTTTTTTGCTCCATTTTACTTTGTTTTTATTAGATGACGCTCTCTACACGCCATCACAGCAACAAAAAAGCAGTGCAAGGAATAAATTTCCAAGTTTTATTGCTTTGTATCGCGCGTTGAGCAGATCCTAAGGTGCTAATTACTTCAATCACAAACTTTAACTAGTCTGTAACGAAATAGAATTTGATTATTTCTCAAACTATTTCTCATGATTCTAATTAAGGTACCGTACCCTCGAGCATTCTCTGTGCTAGCTCTAGAAAGAATTTATCTGTTTATTTGATTTAAATTGATCTCCTCCCGATGAAGGAACAATACCATCTTGCAGGTAGAAGCTAGCCCTTCCCGATGTCATATTTTCACCACAATTAGCAAAATTTTATTTCTATTTCAATTTCTTACTAATTTTTCCCCATTGCTTTAGACTCATTATTCAGCATCAGCTAGTAACGTCGCGAAACTTTTAGTTTCTAAGTAAAACTTCAATGTAAAGCTTTTTGTTCCACTGAAACATGTTTGAGTTCCACCTGAACCAAAGACTCGGGTCTCCACGCATAATGTGAAGCTGTAGCAGTTGTCGCAATTTTATTCTCCAATAAACTGGGGGACTTGTCTACGATCCAGTGTGTATGTAAACTCAGCCAGTTTCTTACCGCAGATTCTTTCTTTAGTAACCATAGCTAATCTCCTTACTCTTGCTTTCATCATTGTGGAATTTTTTTGATAAATTTTCTATCTATAGAATGATAAATGAAATACGCAGTAATTTTACATTCATCTTTCTTACCATCTTTACCTGACTCCATTTACTTTCTCCTCATTTGAAGGCTATGCGCAGTCATGTGCCAGCAATTAACCAACAATAATTGCAGGTAAGCAGTTCCACCGCGTCTACCACTGTCGCCAAATGGTCAGTACCGGCCAGCTTCTCTATTAATGTTTCTTGATTCCAACTTTCCTGTAGAATATGGCAAGAGGTGACTAGCAGGAGTGTAGTCCAGCGCTTTTAAATCAAGTAGTGGCACGCGTAAGTTGCGCCACAGCTGCGGCGCGTGCATGTATCTGCGTATCTCTCGTCCACGTATTCTCTCTGCGACTCAGAGGCATGAAATCTGCAGCGCTAGTGCCTCGTCTGCGTCTATGCCTTGGTTGTTCATTGGAGCAAGTTAGATTCGCAGTGCTCAAACGATGACTTGCAAAGTATATTTTTTACTTAAAATTGCTGGGTTTTCGCTCATAATATTTTGCTGGAGAATTCGTTTCGCTCCAAATTGTGAAACTGTCCGCTTCCTCTTCAAAATAAAAATTGGCGTCGCAGTTTCTGCAGTTCTTGCAAGATAATGAGCCATCATCTTGCAGGAATGCCGTTCCATCCAAGTGCAAAATTCAGTGCTAGCTTTGCAAACGCCTTACATTTATTTCAAGCACGTTGTGTTCCGTTTCTTTTTGCTCAACATGATTCAATCCTCCATTGCTGCGTGCGAACAAGGTGTCTGGTCTTTTTTTTGGGTCGCGCACAACCACGAGTGTATGAATGGCCAGTTAAAAACAGAAGTGGAATTCGAGGTGTGTGTGTGTGTCCATAAATACCTTTGAGTAAGTGCATTCGACAGAAATTTCGATGGCATCGGAACTGCCCATCACTGTCACGACTTGCATCTATCTTCGTCGTCAGGTCCCACCCCCGCACCCGCCCTTTTCGGAATCTTCTGCAACCACACAAGGTCATAACCAAGTATCCCATCTGCCATAAGACTGCGCTATTACCTTAAGTCTGTAGCGCCGATTGAGATGATTAGGTAGTTGATACAATGCTGTTCGAGCTCTTCATCTAAAAATTTCTTTTTCACAACCGAGCTTTGGAGTTTCGAAGAAAATCCAAAATGAGCAAAAATTGTTTTTCTGATACTCATGCATTTTCCTTGCTTCACTTTGCTGAACTTTCTTTGTGAACTTTCGCATGTTTACCCATTCATGTTCCACGGCTTCGCCAGGTCTACAGCCCATTTGGTTCTTGATAAGTGTGTACCTTTTCCAGGATGGGCCGATAGAACACGGAGTATTTTTTTCTTTATGTTTTCTTTGCTTATCTTTGTTGTTTGGGCAAAACTGTCTCTGAAGAAGCCTGAGTAATCACTTGTCACACAGTTCATACTTTTTAGATCTGCTTCTCCTACCACGATCCTGGAAGATGTGTAATTGCGCAAAATACACAGCAGACTCTGAATCTTACAGTACCTCAAGTGTATCTAGCTTGTATATCTATGAATCGGTCGTAGCATAGGTTCTCTTACAGTTGATTGAAAATTTTTCATAATTTTGCAAAATCATTTTCCTTGATTTTGAATTAAGGAGTTTTGTATTTTCGACGTAGACGTGCTGTACATGAAAATTGCAATATTTGAAGTAATTTGGGAAATTTCCATTGTTACCGAAAAGCCAAACTTCCAAAGTTCTCTCGCAATGGCAATGATGCTTTTGGAATCATAACTTTAAACAAGGTCAGAAATAGAAATGAGGCTGTTTTCAACAAATAAAGGCGAAAATGGATGAGTTCCCAGACAGAACTGCCTTCATATTTATTTTGACTAAAATTGTGAGATTGTTCATGCCACTGCCAATAGTTAATGCCTTCTTCCCTTTCTCTTGTGTGCTACTATGATACTTTGCACAAAGTTATAGAATTTTTGAGAAACGAATTTTGTGAAAATTCTGTGACTTTTGTGACAATTCCAATATCATGTACTCAATAATCGTATGCATCTAATGCTTTGGAACAATGTCCAAGGCTTCGTCTACTCAGTTATTCAGGGTGTCTCAAAAGTAAGTACACACTTTTTGGTCGTTGATAACTCTCTTCCCACAAAGTCTTTTGCTTAATCTCAAGTACCATTCAGAAGAGCAGGCTTAGCTAAATTTTTAAGGAGGGTTTTTCACTTCAGCTTAGATTTTTGGTATCAGCCATTCCTCTTCAGTACTGTAGGATTACGGTAGAAACTTTGAAGAGATTTTTGAGCCATTGGTGGCTACATTTTGCCCAGAATGGATACTCAGCAAACTGAAAACTTTATTATTAGGCTAAACTGGGTAGCTAACTACGAATATGTGCCGTACAACTTTTTTCAAATGTTATTGCAGGGAACAACAACGTTTTTTCACTGTTTTTCAAAAATGCGATTAAATTATATGAAACCCTCCAAAAGTTCGTGAAGGTGTTCCAATGAAATCAGCATGTCTGAAAACACTGATAACTTTTTTTCAAACCTCTTATTCCATAATGCCGCTGTATGCTGGAAGTTCCTACGTAATCCTACAGTAATGAAGAGAGATTAGTAATTCGCCCCATGTAAATTTAAGTTGAAGCCTGCTCTACTGATAAATACTTGAGGCAAAGCAAAAAACTTTATTGGAAGAGAGTTATCAAGGTTCAAAATGTGCTACTTACCTTGAGACACCCTGTATAACGATACTGAAGAGATACATGGCTTGTCCAAGATTTCTGCTTGAAGCGTGGATCATTCTTCTTAATTTTTCTCACCTTTTAAATATTAAATTTCTCCAAGGCTTCGAGTTATTGGAATGCGATGTAGGCAGTTAAAACCAATATCTATTATCCAGCTTTTCATAACTTTTTGTAGATGGCTATTTCCTTCTTATGTGTACTGTCGCTGCTGCATAGGAGGCTAGCATTCATGTTTACACAATCTCAAGATGATCCGTTTTGGGATACATTCAGAGCTATCTTCGCGCTATTTACAATCTAAAAGGCTGTCAAGTGTTTCAGACAGAGTTTCAAGAATGGCCATTCTTTCAACCGTCCCAACAAATATTCTCCCGGGAATTTTGATCGTTATTGTCGTGTTTGAATTTTGCTATATTTTTCACTTTCTTGATTCTGTCATCCTGCTGTAGCCGTTCTGACTTCAGGCTTTTATCGTCAAAACAGTTACGCTAGTGCCATCATTGGCATATCAAATGCACCTGTTGTGGGAGTAATTGTCTTGAGTTAAGCTATTTGAATAGAATACCTGTCGACAGCTCTCACAATTTCCTTGGCTTTCACAAGTTCTTGACGTTTCTGTTAGCCTGCCAGGTTGGTCTTCATGGTCAACCATCTCACTGACGATTCCTTATAAAAATAATCATAATAACCATAAGAATTCTTTATTTGTTGTTCTGTTTGGCATGTCAACAGTAACAATGGAAATTTATGAAAATTTGATGCTAGACCTCAAAGTGTGTGTTTAGTTAACCAATATCTATCTTATTCTTGCATCTCAGGTCACCTGTTCATCGAAAAGTCGTTGGGTCTGATTTTAGAATATCCAGTACCTGCTCAAACGTTTGGAAACCTGATATGAGTGAGTTTGAAGCATCCAGTATTTATTATTGATATGTTAAGGTGTACCATAATTTTTTTAACCGTTTTTATCCTAAACATCAGCATATCTCTAGAGCTGGGGCACTTTCAAAGTTCCAAATACATGGTCGTACTTTTCTGTATGTATGAGCTATATGATCACGGGCGTGGGAGGAGCTCAGGATGTTTAGGGGGTGGAGTTTGCCATTTTGCCCCATTCATTTTTTTCTTTATTTCTAGCCATGGAAAAAATGCGGAAATAGTTTTGAGTGTGCGATTTGTCAAGCATACGCTAGGTCAAATGGGGAATTTTCAAGACATTTGGGGCTGAGATACGATTTTCGAAGTAAAGTTCGTTTTCGACTGCTATCAGATTTCCTCAAAACTTCCGGTGAAATACGATTTAAGCAGACTCTTCATAGACATCTTGTAGAACTTGCTTTGCCACGTCAATTGATTACTCAGCCACATCAAGTGAAGGAAAAATACAGAGAGACGACGGTCATAGTAAAAAATTGTTGAAAAAAACCCTGATAACAACGCAGATTCATAAAGTTCAAGAAAAAACTATCGATTACCTTCTATCCATGGGAATTTTTCGCTAAATTTGGCTACATAAAGGGCACGCTCTGATTCTGAAATCGGTTGTTTTATAAGCAAATCACTCATCAGTTTATGAGCAAAGTGCCGAGGTGGTAGGGACTTTCCCTCAAATTACCTTCTACTAGTGGTGAACAGCAGATTTTTCCATTTTCATTTTGACTGCTTTACATATGTAATGTTGACATTGGATTAGCTATGTCAAAAATTTTTGACTCTTGTAATGGAGATCTCTTGGGAGTTGCAAGATTTATCTGTCGTTTTGTAGATATACATAAGCGATTCCAGTCACAGCTATTTTATATGTGTCGGCTCTCTTTACGTAATGCAATTTTTCACTATGTACAATAGATGTCTGGCCGTTTTTGCAGTTGTTCCCGCCATTAGTCTGATGCATTGATGGCCTAAAATGGAACAAAACATTTTTTATTCTATGTTTAGCACTTCTAAATGCGATGAAATGACATAACTCCCGTATAGTGTATTACTTACCAATTAGGCTCCTACCTATCATACTCGCCCCAAATCCAGTTTTTCTCTCTCATAATCGCACCATCAGACAAGGTCATCAGTTACTGTCTGCCATTTGTTTGCGCTACTGTTGGTTGACATAATGATCTGTAATGTTCATTTTTATGAGCTGGAAGAGATTGGATTTGATCAACACGTTGCAAAAACCGATCTAGGATCGTGGCTTTACTTCGAGGTATATCTTTTGATTGAAACATTTCTCTTTTTTATGTCATGGCTGTGTGGACAATGAAGATAAGTAACTCTTTTGGTAACACGTCTCTGCCTAATCATTCCTTTGAAACTTTCACTTAGAAAGGAGGAAAGCGAGAAATAATTTTTAAAAATGATTCAAGGGGCTTCTAGGTCCAATTTTTTTGTAACGCTCCAAAAATCTTCTTTACAAAGCGTAAGTTTCATTTAGAGAAATTGTGAACATATTTATGAACAAAATTATGAACAATTTTGATCACTTGCAAATGATACAAAACTGCTTACATTTTTGCAACGCGCATGGCCCATTAAAACCTCGTAAGGTCCTGGGGAGAGAAAGATGAGAGATAGGAAGGAATTGGGGGGGGGGGGAGGGGAGGAGAGAGAAGGTCTCTACGGTTTTCCCTTCCTTTGCCCACTACGGCTACACTCTTATACTTTATCATCATATTCTTTCACTTTTGATTTTTTGGTGAATGATCTGACCCTCTGACCTTCATTCATCGAGGTTGACTTACACCTACAAAAAGAATCAACGGTTTCATGTTTTTCGGGTAATTTTCGCATACTTTAAGTGAAGGAGTCAAAACCTTAGTAAGTGGTCTGACAATTCACTTTTCCTTCCCCACTAAATGTTGCTATCGACCGTTTACCCCCCCCCCCCCCCTAAACACTCTTTGTCATTCATCAAACACAATCATTTTCACAGCCATTTAAAAGCACCGTCCACCCAAAATCTCGAATTCAATGTTTTTGTCGCCTTCAGGCCTTCTGAAAGCCCTGATTCCGAATATGGAGTCGAAAATCCGCAAAACCCCCAAAAATCTCTGTTTCGAGAACCCTCTGCAACAAGCGCAGGCGAGATAAAGCATGCAAGTGCCCCGCCCACTTTGGTACTTCCGGAGCGGATTTCTCGCTCCAGAAGCAGTCTTTTGCGGCGAAGCTTGGAGGTTTGTCTAGTATGGAGGCCCACACTAGTATGCCATCATAATCTCGCCAACCTCCATTTTGGGTGGACGGCGCCTTCAAGTAGAATTTCTGTTCCGATTCTACCAGATTAGTCACAGGCTAGACTGTTCACGCCCCTTCCCTTTCTCTTCCCTAAGTGCTATCTTTAGGCATGAGGTCTGCCTGATCTTATTTAGTCCGTTCTATTTTTGTGGAGTGGATCTACTGACGACTATGGCTGTTTTCATCCCCCGCCATTTGGCTCAGTGTTTATGTCAAAAAGTGTAAATCATAACAAGTTTGGCACAAAGTATCACTAATGGATGTGTATCTGTACCACTTATACACTATACATCCTATGCAGTGTAAATAGTGGTCATAATAATCATCACATCACCCGTCTTTCTTCCTTCGCTCAGTTTTAAGTGCCGCGTCGTTCCGGGTCCATTCACCTAGAACATTAACGCTATTACCAATCATTAGCGACTCACACTTAAACCTGTTCAGGGAGTAACTCTTTGTAAAAGAGCTAATTAGAGAAGCGAAGAACACAACAACATTCCTTTTTGGTTTCTTTTGCGGTTCGCATTCCAGGACAGCACACTCAATTGGCTTTCATCACATGAACTCAAAGTGCCAGATCTGCTCCTAAGCGTTCTTTTCTGTGCCAAGGTGGCTGCATCGTTCTTAAAGCTAACCGCTGTCATGTTCCCAAGGAGTGTGTCAATCATCCGTTTGTTTCTTGTCTCCGTTACACATGTGTTGCTCTCAGGTACTCTGCTTTGGTTTTTGTTTTCGCCACCAACTTAAAGCGTTTAGGTTTCACTTATAAGCCGTTGACGTACAGGTTTGCCTCTCCGAACGTTTCGAACGGAACTAAAATTCACTACGCTCCGTCGCACTCGTAACTTTGCAGCATTGAAGTTTCGAATTACTCAGTCCTTCTGCCCGTCACCTCAGTTCTCAAACAGTTCCTATGCAATGTCAGAGTGTATATCAGCATCATTCCAATCAATGGTCATGTACACTTTTCAACAAAATCGCGGTCATTTTGGTACAATTGCACCACACTCCGATTTGGTATTCATTTTTGCCAAAGTCAATGCATTCCCCATCTGTCTGTCAGCTCCTCCAATATCAAAACTGGTTCGACTTTTGTCCGATAATGGGCACCAGCTTCATCGGTTTCTAAAGCAGAAGTAGAAATCTATACGCGTTGATAAAAACAATTTGAAATTTTCCTATTTCATCTAAACTATTTATGGAAAGTTTATTATCGTTTAAAAGTCTTCTTCTCAATCATCTGGTAATTTTGTGCGTCTAATGGTTTGATTAATCCCAAAATGGCGAAAGAGGAGGTGTCGTTTTTTTGGAGAAGGAAAAATAAGATTAGTGATACTCTCCAGTTGCTTTAGCTGCTCAGCTACAAAAGTTACACGTTTTTTATCCTGAAAACTTCTAAGCCCCTATAAAACGCCTCACGGTCTTGTACCAAGTATCCCATGTGTCATAGACTATGAAACCCAGTTAACAAAATATTTCTTGGAAGAAATCGAGACGCTTCCGAGACTCTTCATAACTGCTGCTGCTGTTTATCTATAGAAGTTACGTTTCTTCGAATTTGATTTGTCAAGGTAATTTGTGTACGCACGGTAATTATTGCGCAGTCTCTCAATTCTGTTCAGGCTATCGATTTAGTATAGCTACTCCTAATGATGATGACACTCTCGATTTGTGAGAAATTTTCGCTCGTTACTGAATGACGTTTAGCATATTCAATAATCTCTCTAACTTCCTAATATTTACAAGAACACTTTTTCTCGCAACAATAAAATTAATCCCTAGCAAAGGTTGTCTCCCACAAAAACTCGCATCTTTTCAATGTTATTGAATCCGATATAATCGTGGTCCTCGTGAAAGCCTACTCATTATTATTGACGACATGCAAACTTTGATTTTTATTGTTACTGAGGTGATAAATCCAGGATTTGACTGTTTGGATTAAGCAACTTCAAGAAGCCGGTGTTACTATATAACGGTTGGATAATTTACTGTTTTGCTCTCACTGCCACTCAAGCTTGTTGGAATTGCCTCTGCACTCTTCTCTCCTCTTCCAAATCTCCATGATGAATATATCGCTCCAACGCTTGTGTGCCACGAACGCTCTTTCCTTGAAGAACACATGATTTTGACCTCGAGATCGTTTACTATTCCCATGTTTTCGCTCCTCCCGTATAGTAAACATATTCAATTCGGCCAAAGATTACATTTCATTACTTACAGACAATGCTGAAGTATCAAGTGAGATCAAGCAGTCGTCCTACGGCTTATGGTAGCCCATCTTCTTCTACTCACGACACGACTTTGACGAGCCGAAGCAACTCTTTGGCGTCGCTGAATTCGGTGGACAGCGCGAATTCTGAAGGCGATTGGGTACGGTAGTTTCACTCTTTCTGCTTGTTCATGTAGAGAGAGAGAGAATCACTTGTAACTGGTAGACAGCAACCGCAAAAGGGTTTTTGCTTAACAATTTTCTCAAAGTCTACAAATTTTGCTTTGGTGTACCCTGCTTATACTTTGAATAAATGAATGATCCGATAAATAAATTTCAGGGTACACTTAGGGTCTACACGAGCAATGTAAAAGCTTGCACAGCCTACAAAACGATTCGCGTATCCACCCAATGCACTACAAAATCCGTCATCGAGACGATACTAAGTAAATTCAAGATTTCATGCAAGGACACGAATTTGTTTGAACTTTGGATGGAGGTAAATCTTATCTGAGGTTACGGGACAACAGTTGAAGTGTTTTCTTCAGGTCACTACAAAGGCCACCACTGGAGTGGTCCGCACGTTGCTCAGATTGGATTACACGGCTAGGCCACTGCAGCTGCAGAGGTGAGGGAGATTATAGATTTCAGTTGAGTTTTGAAAACTTGTCTGTCTAGGTGTCATCCAGCAAATATGTCTCGGTTTATACTTCACATGACTTCAGAAGGAACATTAGTTCGAGTTCATGACCATAATATCTCGCCTCAGGTAAGGTCCAATAACTTTTACTTCTGCGCCGAAAAATCTATGCGCCCAATCTTACGATCTCCACTCAGATGTCCTGCTAAGTTGTTTATTTATGAAACTTTCCGTTCAGATAAGTATGCATTCCGAAAACCATAACGAATTGGTCGCTAACAACTCCTGTCAATCTCTCCTTGGTTCTTTATGCAGAGTTGTAGAGCTGGCTCAACTTAAACAAAAAAAGCACCCACATCTCTTTAGGATGTAAAATTACTATAGGAAACACACTCATTGCGAATCACTGCCGGATAGATTCAGAAAGTTTCCAAATTGTCTGCAAACTTCTGTGAGGATGTTTTGCACCCAGTTATAGTGACAACTTTGTAGATGTTTGTAAATCAGTAATCAAAATAACCGCTTTTACGACGTTCTGTTGTAATTTTTGAAATACTACGGTAAGGCGAAAATGCATATATGGCGTTAGAAATACTAACCAGTCTGTTAGCAAAATATCAGTTCCTTCGGATTCCTTTCTAGGACAAGTTTTGACTGTCATTGGTACTTTGATCCATATCATCCCACAGTAATGAAGAGCGATGTTTTCTAGTGTAAGCCTAAGTTGAAGCTGGCACCACGTACTACTCAAGGGGTAAAGTTGATGTCGCAGATGAGTTATTAGCGATCAAGCATTCGTTGTAGTTTTGGGACTTTTATCCTTTAACACTTGGAGATAATAAATTGCGGAAACTCTCTTGGAAAACCGCTCTTGGAACTTGCAGCATTCGACAGTCACTATCGATAGACTCTTTCTGGATAGATAGCGCTCGACGCCTCTTATAAGTCTAAGAAAATGAGGTTACATTCGCCTCTTGATTTCTTCCATTGCGTTTTTGGATGGTCGTCGTACGACGAAATTTGGAGAGAATCTTAGGGTGGTATAGTCGTCCTCGCCCCTCGCCTGGTGGATGAGTTCGAATTTGATTTGGGGCAGGCCGGTTGCGCTAGAGCACGGCACGTTCAATGCTCAGTTCAATCTCACATATGGAATTCATCCACCAAGGGACTAGCCTAGTGGCGTGAGGACGACTGTGCGAGATTGGAGGATCGAATATAGCTGGTATAGGAAGGACTAAATCATATTTTTCGACAACCTCGTCACTAATCCTATAATACATAACTCGTACCTTGTGTAGCAAAGGCATCTTGTCTCTCACAAATTGCCTAGTAACAGCTGTGAGTACATAAATTATACCTGTATTGGTCCTCAGTTAGTCACATTCTCCAATAACAGTTCTTTAGATTGAGAAGTTACTCTTATTTATCGCAATAATCCATGCTGACTCATAGGCAGTAACTGTTTTGCAGCGGATATTATTGGAGTTATTTTTGCAAAAAAAAACGAAAATCATGTTCGAAATTCATACTTAATGTTCTAAATTCACAGGTAAGTGCGGAAAAGATTGATACGTTTATTTGCTTATAATTGCAACGCTAAAGGATGTACCATAATACCAAGCTGGTAAACATGAGGAGCAGAAAGATGTTGGACTGAATGGATTTTGAGAGAGAAAAAAAATCAAGTGACCAAGGTGGAAACATAAGCTTTTGTGACCGGAGAACGAATTCGGCCAACAGCGTTTCCTTCCGCTCAAGTGCTTTCGCATACATATGAGGAGTAGTAGTTTACAAGCGGCATCTAGTGATGGCATCTGTTCTTCCACATTTAGGGTTTATACTCGCATTTCAGTCCAACTACAAATCGCTGCTACTGGCCGAAGAAACGACATGTCGCGAGGCCATCGATATCCTCTTGAGCATGAATCGGAAGGAGCCCGAAGGCGACTATGCGCTCTTCCTCACAGCGCCTGAAGGCGAGGCTCAAATTCCTTCAGAGGTTGGTCCTGAATGGATGTTCTCAAAAGAGTTGATCCTTTGATCTAGTATAGCTTCAGGTCTCTTTGGTGCCGATCGCCGCGATGTGTCAGTTACATCATAAAATTGTTATACGACAAGTCGATTCGCTATAGAGTATAGAAATTCGAAACTTGCTGAAATGTAAGTTCAGGCATTCGTTCAGTTCTACTTTTGCTTTGTTTCTGCTATGTTGTGAACTTACTTTCTTACTCATTTAAAATTTGAACTTTTTTAGGAATGGAAAATTGCTGGTAAGAAAGCACTGTAGGGAGAACAATCTTGAGCGTGTAGAAGCATTTCTTCTGAACCTTTTCGCTAGCCAGCAAGCAGACACAAATGAAAGCCAAAAGTAGAAGAAATGGACGATCAGTGAAAAGATGATAAATTTCTTCGTAGCTTGATCTCGCTTCATTTTCTACCTCTTCACTTAACATATCACATACTTAGAATAAACTATCATCTGGTCTCTTCTTTTGTGTTCACACAATAGCTAGTCGATTTGATAATAAATCTTGTTCTAAACGTATCGATAGTGTTTATGTACACATTTTTCAAGAGTTGAGTATTATGTGAACCTACAAATGACATAATGCGGCGAGAAAAACTATCGAGCGTTTTGGATGGAATTGCTATAAGAATTAAATTGGCTTCTCTAGGTTTTCGATTTTTCAGAAATTTATGAACTTCTTCATAAACATTGGGTCTCTCTGTGTCTATGATTTGCTTGTGATTGAACCAAGAGAATTCAAGTTTTTCTTCACATGTACAGTACAAAAAATGGTGGAGGTTTGATCGGCATGGCAAAGAAGATTTTGTAGCAGAATTTAGATCCGGTGATTCTAGTAGGTAATTTTGTACGCGATAATAGAGCAGTGGGGGGGGGGGAAGGCGTTATGGAGCAAAGCAGTGCCGCATTCCCCTGAGGCACATCCTGAGGGCCAGGTGCGTTGCGTCGCCTTTAAATGCAGGCAGGAGTACAATACCGCTCACATTTTTTGAAAAATAGACGCGAATGTATGGACATGTATGGAACGGACATACATGTACAGACATGTACGGTGTTGTACTCTGCTCTCGACAGCGGATTGAGCCGTTCCCTTTTGCTACGGCTTAAGAAGATGTTCAAACTGCATAATGTAACAAAGGTATCAAAAGTCGAAAAAAAACCAGATTTTTACGGATGCAAAAGCTGAATCTCGGATGAGAATAAAAGACTGATTTTGAGTCAAAAGGTGTTTGAGAGAAGTATTTATTTATTTATTTTTATTGCATAGAGAGTCCCTATGGTAACAGAACAACAAAAAAATCAAACCGACTTAACACAATAGAACGAGCTTATTGAACTGCACACAGCAAACAGATAAGTGAAGGTGTTAGTAGGAAGACCGGAGGTAGCTTCTTAGAATTTTTAAAACAGTGATAGCTTGACTACGAACATCTTTCTTCTCAAAATTAATGGGTCGTTCCTTAAGTTCGTAGCGTTTTTATAAATCAATAAAATCATCAATTTACAGCAAAAATCGATCAAAATTATATTCCTCGTTGTAGCGCACGACCTTCTGGCACATTCTTGCTAGCTTCTCGACTTCAATTTTTCAAACGGCAGCGCGCGGGTCCCAATAAGTTCTTCTAACCAGCGCTCAAACTACTTACTGAAATCGAGACAGGCACCATTCATGAGGTTTGCCAAAGAGCGGAGCAAATAATAATCTGATAGAACGAGATTTGGAAAGAATTTTGAGTATTGAGGGCGAGCGCCATCTTATATATAAAGCTGAATGTCTGTCTGTCTGTCTGTATGTCTGTATGTCTGTCTGTCTGTCTGTCTGTACGTATGTTCCGAATAGAAAATTCCATTTCTGAACCGATCCGGACCAAACTTGGCACACATACACTACGGGCCCCGGCGGGTGTCATAGGCTACTTTTCGTCATCGATCGATATCGATTTTATCGATTTTTTGCAAAATTTGAGCTACGGGGCTGGGATTTGGCACAGGGGGGTAATCGAGCATGCTGATCACCCCCGTGGAGGTGATCAGCATGCTCGTTACACCCCTCTGCCAAATTCCAGCCCCCTAGCTCAAATTTTGCAAAAAATCGATAAAGTCGATAAAAGTAATGCACGGTTTCGAAAACTAATATTGTATTCGTAATCAGCATGCTCGATTACCCCCTGTGCCAAATCCCAGCCCCCTAGCTCCAATTTTGCAAAAAATCGATAAAATCGACATCAATCGATAACGAAAAGTGGACTGTGACACCCGCCGGGGCCCGAAGTGTATGTGTGCCAAGTTTGGTTCGGATCGGTTAAGAAATGGAATTTTCTATTCGGAACATACGGCGGAGCCAGGTATGCCAGCTAGTGTTCCATAATGGACACAAAAATCTGTGCAAAAACGCTTCTTTTCATAAGGAAAAACGCGCAAATGCCGGATTTGTTCCTGTTTGCCTTTCAAGATTTCCATATTTGGAAGCTGCGCAATCCGAGTGAATCAGCTTTCCACCGAAATCAGTAGACGTATTTTGAAGAGCACAATCAGCTTCCAAATGATATATGCAGCTGCAAATCAACCGCTCTTTAAAAACATGAGGACGAAAATGAAATCGCTACGAACTTATGGAACGACCTAACATATACACATCATGGGCCACTCGGCACGTAAAATAATTCCTTGCATTTAACCTTGTCCTTGGGTATAAATTTCCTACTCCTCTAGTATTGGAGCGTCTAGTGCAAGAAATTTCTTTTCAGGCTTACATCCTCCAAATAGTATGTCATGCACCATAATCAAATCGAATTTTCTCCTCCTGTAAGCAAGACTAGGAATGCGTAGATTGCGAATCCAACTGCTCAGATAATCGCCGGGGGCAGGCGGTCCGCAACTCGTGCTTTTCTGCAAGCGGTCAGCAGAATTTTGGGGCGTGGCCAGACCTTCAGCGAGAGGTACTTCCGCGTTCTGCCCAGCGGGTAGCAATACGGAATTTTCTGCAGGCGCTCGTCAAATAATCTCTTTCAGCGAGCGCTGGTCAAATTTTCAGCTGGCGCTAGGACGGTTTCTAAGCAGTTTCGGGCGTACGCCGAGCAAAGGTGAGACTCTACAGAGGTGTCATCGATGGTTTATTTATTTATTTATTTATTTATTGATTCGTGCAAAAACACGTGAGTTGAAATAGTGAAAGGAGAGTCTTGCAATGTGAAAACCGTAGTATCAGTGCATGAAAAAGACATCAGCAAACGATATACATATAATAACAATTACAGAACAAGACAACGAAATGGTTTCATGATTAGGAAATAGGACGATTTGTAGTAAAAAAAATTTAGCTAATATCTTTTGAAGAGCATCTTGTGCCAGTAGTCTGTTAAAATCGGAAATTTTCCAAACAGTGAAAAAATGGGACCTGACAAGCGATTTAGTCTCGGGAGCTTCTAGTTTTAGTAAACCTCCTCTAGTTTTAGAGTTGTAAACGTAAAATCTTGAAAAATCAATTTTGCATCTTCCTGTCAACATCTTGAGAGCCATGGAAAGGTCAAATTTTTCCTTCTGAGGGCTAAACTAGGAAGAACATTTTATTGCGTGCATCGCTTCTAGGTATAAGAGAGTAGTTGGGACCCAAAAGTCTCAGAAATAACTTTCTGGTAAAGTTGTTTTGCATTCTCTTGATATTAGCAGTGTCTCGAATCTTTTATGGAGAAGTAACTGTGGTACCGAATTCGACAATAGGACGAATGTAGATCTTGTAGGCATTGATCAAGACTTTAGCGTTTGTGGTTTTGAGGGCCTTGAATAGATTGTAAGTTCGGGTAAGGGCTTTAGAGACAGTGCTGTTGTAGTGAGATGTAAATTGAAGCTGTTCGGAAAATATAAAACTTAAATCTTTTACTTCCGTAATCTGAGTCAAATTGTTTCCATTTAGGGTATAAGATGACTACCCAAATTACTCAAGTTTGAGGTACTTTCTCTCAGCGGAAAGTACCTGGGGGCTGCGCGGTTTTCCACAGAGGACCGTACGGCCCTCGAGAATTTTGCATACTCTCGCGGACTTTCCGCGAGAATGCGGCCGCTGCGCCGCAGCTAATCTATAAGGAAACCGCGTTTGTCCTCCGAGCGTTCGTCCAAAATTTCGCTAAAATTCTTCCAAATATCTGCAAGCGGACCGCAAGAAATCAGCGAACATTTTTCCGGCGCCCGCTCGCTCAAAAATTGCATTGCCGCCTGCCCCCGGCGATTATGTACTTGGTCTTGATTGTATCTAAATCCGACCGTCCTGATCAACAATTTTCTAGTAAAACTATTTTGAATCTTTTCTGAATAATCGATCGTTTTTCGAGTGTACGGACTATAGATTATTTTACCGCATTCCATTATAGGTCTTATGTAAGTTTTATATGCCCTCAATAAGACCTTAGGATCGTTACATGATAGTCCTCTGTAAAGATTATAGGTAGCTAGCGTTGCATTATCCGTAATTATCTTACAATTGTCAAAAGAAAGAGGTTGTGACCAGAAAAAGCACGTCTTTATCGAATCAACAGCTGTAAGCGTTGTTCTTCCCATTGAGTAACTATATTCAAGATTGCTTGAGCCTATATGAAGTATTTTGTTCTTTTCCTAGTAAAATAGGCAGACCCCATTCCTGTGACCATTCAAAAACTTCATGTAAGGTGTCTTGTAACTGCTTATGACAAACTTCATCCTTGACTGTTCTTGACTTATCACCAGCATATAAGCAACAAGAAATAAAGTCCGGTTCATAATTATACGAACACCCCAAATTTTGAAAGTTTTTGGACTTTTTGAGAGAAACGCAAAAAGCCGTTGGTACCACGCGGTAGAGCACAGCCGAAAACGGTATACGATCCACAAGAATGGAGATCGATTTCAATCTTAGGAGTGTTTTTGCGCCTAATGCGAATTTTTCGCGGTTCATAATTATACGAACACCTCAAACAAAGGTCCATTTTTCATTCAAGATTGCAATCATTTGAGTCCAAATTTTTTGTAGAGTTACAGTAACAAAGTCTGACATATCTGCCGCACACTGAACCCAGTGCAGTTCAAAAAGAGGACCGTTACTTTTTTCAGAAGGCTCTAAATGCTTCTGGAGTGACTGTGCTATAAAAACATCGATTCTTCTGTGATTTACGCGCTCTAATTAGCTTTTATCAAAGCTGTGAGATAAAATAAGCTCTTTCGATAAGTATTTTGTTTGACGCTTGGAAAATCTTTGCGTTTTCGTGCTTTTAACCAAGTTCCAACCTTACCCTAGAGTTAGCACGATTTCGAGCCTCAAAACTCAGCTTCTGAAGCCGTACAATGAAGTAAGCATATAGTATGTAGAAGCTCACAAGACTGTCTATTTGGCTAGAAAAAATCAGCAGCGTTGAGCGTTTGTTTTGGCCACGCAGACGTCATTTCTCCAAAACCACTGTTTTTACTAAATCACACCTTTATTTGGTTTGTAGCTCCACAGC